TGAAGGGAAAAAAGTGTACGATTTGACGTGGAATGGCCCAATATAAATTTAAACTTAAAACTGAAGGTAAACTAGGAATTCATTTGCACGATATTTCTAAGTACCGTACTGTCAGCCAATTTTTTCATAAAAAGCTTTAGCATTACAAACTTGTAATACACTTTCAAACTGCCGAGTCTCTGTTTATTGGGAAATAAACTACATTTTCTGATCATGATACTAATGTTGCCGACGCCTTTCAAACAGCAATTGATAAGCCTTTCTGCCGCTGAACTCCACAGTAGACTACTTTTTATTGTTTATGACATAGGTAAAACTTACAACTGTTAGAAGCATGAAAAACTCCACTCACCTCCTTCTCTCTTTCTTTTTTTTTTCCGTTTTTTCTTTTCAGAGTCATTATCAAAATTGCTGAATTAAAGGCACATATCAATTAAAATATTTGCAGAGGCATACGGTTTTTTTCAGACTTTATTTTGATTCTCGCCACTTCTTATTTCCAATAACTTCGTTTGAAAAGTTCTTTTCCAATCAAATAAAAAGATTCGTTATTGTCTTTATAATTCACAGTTTTGAAAACGGACAATATAAATCAATGTCTTGGTTTTCAATTGGCTAACACATTTTTTAAGGAGGTACAAGAATACATGGGTTTTTGTCTGAGCCAAGTTAGACGTTGCTGTTCTATAGACTTACCGTTTCACCTCGTTCCTATACTGTCCTTTTCCTAATCTTTTATAAATTATAATTGGTTTGAAAGAAAATTTGCAGGTTTTTGTCAAACAGTTAGATTTACAGTGTTTAGTGATTTCCTTGTAAAGCACTTAATTAATTTTCCAGTTTCTGATGCAGGTATTTTTCATGAATACCAAGCAACTTTTTCAGTTGTTATTGATTATCGGATGCTTAGGCAGGTCTATAAACACTGAAATTTCGTTGAAAAGCAATGTCATTTTGTTACGAAAAAGCAACAAGCAGAATAGCTGTCTAGAAAGCGCGTGGTGTCAGCAGTCCAGTTCCAAATTATTCTTCGCAACTCTGGTAGTACCACTTTCAGGAAACTTTAAAGAAAACTTCAACGGCATCAACTTATTAACGCATTTATAAATTTTTAATGGGGTGCTGTCAACGTCTACTGTACCCACCGCTAAAATGAGTCCAGATCTTCTATCGTAAAAACCATAGATTTTTCAGTTTCAACCATATGAAACAATTTATCCGGTGTTAACGAAACAGAGCATAGTCCATCTTCGACCAAATTCAAGAGTTTAGACTACAGTGGCCAGCCAGCAAATAGCCAGCGGTCTCAGCTTAAGGACTGGAAATAGACTGTAAGGAGTGCTATGAGTGAGTATTTAAAAGTTGGAGACGTGCCAGTCACGAAAGTAGTTTCGTGAAAGACAGTCTTTCAGTGTGTCACCAGCAATGGTTAATGCGGCCAATTAGGGTAATTGATTTTTAGATGAAGTTGCGAAGTGTCCATCTACGGGTACTGGCGGTGTCTTTCTGTTAAGTCGTTGATTTACTGTGAATAGTCTTCTGTTCTGATCTTCTTATGTTTGTTCTTCAGCCCGAGCGTTACTGTGCTGAAATATACGCCTGAAGTGTTGTGTGATATCAGGCAACTGACATATTTGTTTTGAATGCTTTTTTTTTTTCTTTGCCGGAACATTTAGTAGCATTTTGTGATCTTAGAAATATTTTTAGTGAGTAACGAACTTGAAATGCTTGTAGCATTTCTTCATATGGCTTTAATAAATACCTTTCGTTTAGAAAACCTCCGTCATGTAAAATTTATTTTTTTTTCTTTGTTTTGCTTTCATTTGACACGCTTTTTGCCAAAATGTTTCTAGCTGGATTAGGAGCATTAACATTTGAGATAATAGCATTGTTAGTCTCCATGGAAATGTATGTTCAGCAGAAAGTCTGTAATTTCACGTTTTTTTCCTAGAAATTCAATTTTTGCCACTTACATTTCCAATACGTTAACTTTTACTGCCTAATGATCAACTATGTTTTTGGTATACAACTCCAATATCGTTTTTGTTTTAATTACCTTTTCTTCAGGGTTGAAACAGTCATCTTGGTTGAAGAGAATGCTTTTACGCTCTGTTCTTTTACTCTCGTTTACTGTGCTCTATGTGCTAGCAGTTGATCGCAGTAACTTTAAAACTTGCAGCCAGTCAGGATTCTGCAAGTAAGCTTTTTAGTTGTTGTAGTGTCAACCATTTGCTTGAAATATTTCAACCACTTATCTGATTTTGAACCATTCCTTTTTCTATGAATACGCCAAATCTCAACTGTTATTATTTTTATGATGCTTTGGTATAGATTTACCTTAGTTTGTAGTCCAGGGTTCAGTCATGGTTACTGGCTGTGACAAGCACGCTCTCTTCTTTTTAAACCGCAAGAAATGATTTGTATAAGGATAAAAATTTCAGACCTTAAGAGGGTTTTTTAGTTATCGTGGTACTTTTTCAAAAAAAAAAAATTTTTTTTATTTATTTCTTTTTTAGGGCCTCTTATTTTATATCACTATTTTAATCAAGTATCAGTTATCTGTTTTGCTTCAATTGTGAAGTTATTTGTTTTATATGTTGATACTATTTCATACAAATCTCAGTTATCCACTTTCTTTTTTTAGAAGGCAGAGAAGCACGGCACAAAGACCGGAGTATGAAGTCGTTCCAGAAACTGTAATGAGAAACGCATCTGCTGTTATTGCCGAATTGAGGAGCAGGATAAATACATTGAGGATGGTTATAGTTTCGTTGGCTGATTCAACTATCCGAGTTGTTATTGATGAACCTGAGGGAAGTTTGAGGCCACGATATCAACCATTAGATGTATTGCAGAATGGTACAAATCTTAAGACGGAGGAGTAAGTTATTGTTATTATAAGCTTTGTATTTGTAACTGTAAACTTACGTATGAAAAAAATTTTCAGCTTTAAGTATTTTAAAAAGGAAGCGTCTATGGTAACATTTGTTCTGGAAAATGGTGCTCAGGTGATGGTTGCTTTCAAACCTTTCCAAATACTCGTTTACATAAATGGAGAAGTTGTCGTTGGGTTGAACTCTCATCATTTACTAAAGTTCGAACACTATAGGAAGAAGGTTTACTTTAGCGTTAATTTTCTTTTCAAGAGTTTGAGTAACTGTTGATTATTTTTATATTTCACTTTTAAAGGCTTTCAAGAGAAGACTTAGATTTTTAGATCACAAATTCTTCGATTTTTTTCGATGTAAAGTACCTAAATTTCTTTGTATGTTTAGGTTCCAGGCAAAGAGAAGGATGATGGTGAAGGCTTTTGGGAAGAAACGTTCAAAACACATACGGATTCGAAGCCTCACGGTTTGCTTTGTTTTCTTTTT